TAGGAAATTGATTTTATAAGGCGAACGTCTCGGTGCAAGAAAATTCTTGTCCTGCTTTTACCTCGTCGGTTCGGTACATTTCATACGGAAGCCTTAGACATTATTATGTATAAACTCTCTCACACACACACAACACACACACACACCGACACACACACACACACACACTCACACAACACACGCGCGCGCAGAAGCACACACAACAACACACACACTACTCACCACACACACACACACATACACACACACTCAACACACACACACACACACACACACACAACACACACACACACACACATTTCACTCACCACACCACACACACACACACACACACACAATTACACATCAACCACACCCACACACACACAACACACACACACACTCACTGCACACATCACTTATATATGGTTTGGCCCCGCCGGTTTCTTTAGCTGACAGGTGTTATTAACGAATAACCCACCTGCTGGCTGTTAATGTCGTGATCGCCTTTCTTTTTTTTTAAACTTTTAATCGGCCACAATCATGACTTGTGTAGGCAATTTACGGGAAACTCCGTCAGTCCGTAAAGCAAAATAAGTGTGATTCTTAATCATAAAGTAGACTAATGACTAATAGTTATTACCATGACGTTTTCAGGGAAAATATTCAAAATTGATTAATCTCTCCCCCTCCCCACTTAAAAAGAAAGGTAAAACTGTAATGATCTCTTTTTTTCTAACGGCAAGTCTATTCGGTGTAAGGATCATGCTTTAGTACGGAATATGAAATAAGTGGGTGCAAGGATAACTTTAAAAATTGAAAAGGTTTTTAATAGATTCATCGTGTGAGGTGGACCGTCAACTTTCATGGAAACACAGTCAAGACACGCTTCCTTCCTTTTCGATTTTCTCACGTTTTCCTCTCCAACTTCGTCCGGGTTCCTTTTCTCACTGCCTTGCTTTGTACGCCAAAACATTAACGTTGGTTGAAATATGACAACACAGCAGCGTGGAAGTGGAAGGAACGGTGCCCCATTTCTGTTACCATGTGATTGGGATGGAAAAAACCTGCCTTTTTCAGCCCTTACCAGAGAGATTTTGAAGACCTTGTACAATGGGCTCTGGCGACCATCTTTATGCGTTCCATGACACGTCTTCATGAGCACTGAGAAGGAAGCGGAATTTCAGAACTCACGGTAAAAAAAAACTTTAGGTATTCTAACACAGGTAATGTGAAGAAGTTGATAGGTTATTATACCCTTGTTTAAGTTATTTTTTTTTAAGGGACACCCCCCCGCGCCCCCCCCCCCCCCCCCCCCCCCCCCCCCCCCCCCCCCCCCCCCCCCTCTCTCTCCCTCCCCCCCCCTCCCCCCCCCTCTTCCCCCCCAAAAGTTGTGTTATTATGTCTTTTTGTTATTTTATTTAATTTATCAGTTTTTTTAGTGTTTTCTTGATTAGTGATATTTTTTAATCCAATATAATTGTGCTTTAAATAAAACTACGTATATTGTTTTTTAGGGAATCAAGCAGTTTTTAGATTCGTAGGTTGGTAAGGTACGAATCAATCAGGCAATCGAAGAATCAAAGTGGAACATTTAAAAATGTATCTGGTAATGCAAATAATCTGACCAGCTGATAATCATGAATGCAGTAATAAAACGATATATCGGTCTTTTTTTATACCAGTGAAGGTACACGTATGAAACGCAAACAAAAAAGTTAGATTCTTCAACATTCCGTTTTATGTCGTTTTGAGAATCGATGAAGTGATCGATTGCTCATTAAGCTCTTACAAATACTTATACGAACCGCATCGGCTTATGAACCTTTTAATTTAATACGTTCAGAAAACATAGGCACCATAAATTTACCAAAGAACATATCAAGTTATCAAGAGTGGCAGCAAGATACCTTCACATAGTTTTAATGCGTGCCGTTGACCCCTTTTGAAGGATTCTTTAAGTTGCTCTCTTATCCCACCCGCTGAGAGTAGCCTTCGCCAGTCGCTGATGCTCGTTGCCTCGTTGAACGCTGCCGACGAGAGATCACATTAGCGAAGGGACTTTGTCTGGGGAGATGACTGTTGTGTCTCACGCTACTTTTCTGACGCCCATGATAATTGTTTTGTATTTCCGTTCCTCAGTGTTCTTGTAGACTATAGAGGCATATGTAGATAAACACAGGTACGCAAGCCGCGCGGCACAAACACACACACTAAACCACACGCGTGTACGTTTACATATATGTATGTATGTTGTACTATTATGTAATATGAAAATTCCATGTGTATGTTATGTATTTTTTCATAGATGTGTTCGCGCGCACGCTTGTTTGTACACACAAACACACACTCACACACACACCACACACATTCACACTCAATCAGCACAATGTGTGTGTATTTATTATATACACATATATGTAACTTCGTATACATATGCTTATTATACTTTATTATATATATTTGTAATATATATAATATATATTATAATATCTATATATATATAATTATATATATATAT